GATTAATGGACTTCAATGTCTGTACACGAATGCGCAAAGCATGGGAAATAAACAAGATGAGCTTGAGCTCTTGGTACAGCAAACTAAATATGACATAATAGGCATCACTGAAACCTGGTGGGATAAGTCCCACGATTGGAATGTAATAATGGAGGGATACAATCTATTTCAGAGAAACAGACCAGACAAGAAAGGAGGAGGAGTGGCGTTATATGTCAGGGATGTGTATACCTGTGAAGAGATCCAAGATTTAGAACCTCAAAGCCAAAGTGAGAGCATTTGGGTCAAAATTAAGGAGAGAAGAATAACAGTGACCTCACTGTGGGAGTTTACTATAGATCCCCAAGCCAAACGGAGGACATAGATGATGCCTTCCTGGAACAGATGGCCAAGCATGCAAAAGGAAGGGAGATAGTAGTAATGGGGGACTTCAATTACCCGGATATTTGTTGGATGTCAAACTCAGCCAAGAGCATAAGGTCAAACAGATTCCTCACTGGCCTTGCAGACAACTTCATTGTCCAGAAAGTGGGAGAAGCAACAAGAGGAACAGCCATTTTAGATCTGGTCCTAACCAATGTTGATGAACTGGTTAGTGGGGTAGAAGTGGAAGGATCATTAGGCGCGAGTGATCATGCTCTTCTGAAGTTTACTATACAGCGGAAAGGAGCAGCAAAGCATACTAGGACTCAATTTCTTGACTTTAAGAAAGCCGACTTCATAAAACCTAGGGAAGTGCTGGGTGAGATCCCATGGACAGTAATACTAAAAGGAAAGGGAGTTCATGATGGCTGGGAGTTTGTTAAGAGGGAGATAGTAAAGCACAACTTCAGGCAATACCAATGAGACAGAAACATGGAAGGTGCCTAAAGAAGCTAGGGTGGCTATCTAAAGAACTTTTAACTGAGTTAAGATTAAAAAGGATGTGTACAAAAATGGAAAAGGGGGTAAACCACCAAAGAGGAATTCAAACAAATAGCCAGCACGTGTAGACACAAAGTCAGAAAAGCTAAAGCACAGAATGAACTCAGGCTTGCTAGAGAGGTTAAAAGCAACAAAAAAGACTTTTATGGATATGTTCGTAGCAAAAGGAAGAACAAAGAAACAGTGGGGTCACTCAGAGGAGAAGATGGTGAAATGCAAACAGGGGACACAGAAAGGGCTGAACTCCTCAATGCCTTCTTTGCCTCAGTCTTCTCCGATAAAGAAAACAATGCCCGACCTGAAGAATTTGGAGCAAATGATTCAGCAAAGGAAACACAGCCCAGAATAACTAAGGAGATAGTACAAGAATACTTGGCTAGTTTAGATGTATTCAAGTCTCCAGGGCCAGATGAACTGCATCCAAGAGTATTAAAAGAACTGGCAGATGTGATCTCAGAACCACTGGCAGTCACCTTTGAGAATTCCTGGAGAACAGGCGAAGTCCCGGCAGACTGGAGGAGGGCAAATGTTGTCCCTATTTTCAAAAAGGGGAAAAGAGAGGACCCAAATAATTACCGCCCAGTCAGTCTGACATCAATACCAGGGAAGATTCTGGAGCAGATCATTAGGCAAACAGTCTGTGAGCACCTAGAAAGGAATGCTGTGATCACTCAATAGTCAGCATGGATTTCTGAAAAATAAGTCATGTCAGACTAACCTGATCTCGTTTTTGACAGAATTACAAGCCTGGTAGATGAAGGGAACGCAGTGGATGTAGCCTACCTTGATTTCAGCAAGGCATTTGACAAGGTGCCCCATGATATTCTTGTAAAGAAGCTGGTAAAATGTGGTCTTGACTATGCTACCACTCAGTGGATTTGTAACTGGCTGACTGACCGAACCCAAAGGGTGCTCATCAATGGTTCCTCTTCATCCTGGAGAAGAGTGACTAGTGGGGTGCCACAGGGTTCTGTCTTGGGCCCGGTCTTATTCAACATCTTTATCAATGACTTGGATGATGGACTCAAAGGCATCCTGATCAAATTTGCAGATGACACCAAACTGGGAGGGGTGGCTAACACCCCAGAGGACAGGATCACACTTCAAAACGACCTTGACAGTTAGAGAACTGGGCCAAAACAAACAAGATGAATTTTAACAGGGAGAAATGTAAAGTATTGCACTTGGGCAAAAAAATGAGAGGCACAAATACAAGATGGGTGACACCTGACTTGAGAGCAGTACATGTGAAAAGGATCTAGGAGTCTTGGTTGACCACAAACTTGACATGAGCCAACAGTGTGATGCGGTAGCTAAAAAAGCCAATGCAATTCTGGGCTGCATCAATAGGAGTATAGCATCTGGATCAAGGGAAGTAATAGTGCCACTGTATTCTGCTCTGGTGAGACCTCACCTGGAGTACTGTGTCCAGTTCTGGGCACCACAGTTCAAGAAGGACACTGACAAACTAGAACGTGTCCAGAGGAGGGCAACCAAAATGATCAAAGGCCTGGAAACGATGCCTTATGAGGAACGGCTAAGGAGCTGGGCATGTTTAGCCTGGAGAAGAGGAGGTTAAGGGGTGATATGATAGCCATGTTCAAATATATAAAAGGATGTCACATAGAGGAGGGAGAAAGGTTGTTTTCTGCTGCTCCAGAGAAGCGGACATGGAGCAATGGATCCAAACTACAAGAAAGAAGATTCCACCTAAACATTAGGAAGAACTTCCTGACAGTAAGAGCTGTTCGACAGTGGAATTTGCTGCCAAGGAGTGTGGTGGAGTCTCCTTCTTTGGAGGTCTTTAAGCAGAGGCTTGACAACCATATGTCAGGAGTGCTCTGATGGTGTTTTCTGCTTGGCAGGGGGTTGGACTCGATGGCCCTTGTGGTCTCTTCCAACTCTATGATTCTATGATTCTATGATTCTTTAAAGTCATCACAAGTGACTTTACAGACATATCTCCTAATATGCATACTTTTTTCCATAGTTAAACCAGAATTTGAAACAATTTGAATGCAGGGTGCGGCAAACCCCTCTGATGCAACTGTGGAATGGAAGTGAAGATATCCACTCATCCCTAGCCAAACTTATCCTGAAACTTGCAAACATCACCACCATACCACATTATTCCAATTGTGGTAGTTACATGAATTGTACCATTTGAGGGCTTTTGCTAACAATTTATGTCTCTCATCCTTGGTCTGTGTGACCGTTTGGCTGACAAATTGCCCTTGTTACATACAAGAGAGGTTCAAATTCATTGATATTCATGAAGTGCTTGTCAAAGGAGCTGGCATTTGCTTTTGTCATGATGAAGGAATATGTTCCCGTTCAGTAATGGAATGGGCAGAGGAGATTTGAAACCAAGCAGTCGTGAGCAATTTATTAGAGCAAAGCAAAACTCCTGCTGCTTAACCTGATTTTCTCTCACAATGAAAGGCCTAACCCTTTGCAGATGCAAACTTCCTTGCATTTCAAGAAAGTTTCACAATGGGCCAATAAGCCTCTTAAACAAGATTGAATTTGCTATTGTGCATGTTACAGGCTGAACAAACAGAGATTGGGCAAGTTTCTGTTCATCCGTGTGCCGCTTTTAAAAAAAACAAATACCAGTTTAATATAAATGGAAATGAGGGCAATATTAGTGTGAACATAAATCTCGATCTATTGTAACCTAATAATGAAAGCCATACTTTTTTAAGAGCCTGGATAAATGGCTAGAGGCATCATTTTTAGAGGCTGGATCACTGCTATTTTTAAACACAGATTCACTTTTCTTTCTTTTTTTCTTTGCTTGCTGGGCCTTCAATAAATGGCAGTACAGGCAGCAAAGCGGCAATAGGAAAGTTTCAAAATCATGAAAAACTAGCTTGCTCTGTGGGCTGTCACACATCACATGATTATTATTGTATCAGTCAAAGAACAATATGGGATAATATTGCAAAAGATTTATAAGGACAAGGGGCAGATGTTGCTTTCTAATGGTTGATTTTCTCTCACTTTATATTTTCATAACCTTTAAGTGATCATAGGACTATAGCTAATGACAGTCATCTAGCCATTTGACCTTTTCTATTTGGCAGAATGCCAGTACAGTTCCAATACTTCCATCTCAGCCACAATTTCATACTGATTTCACATGTTATTCATATAAAGTGACTACATTAAAATCCATTTGAGGTTTGAAGAGTTCATTTCCATCTAATAGGCATTCAGCTGCAACATTTTTGGAATTATGAGCTGCAAAAGAATCATTGTTAAGAAAACTATAAATGGGACCCCATGTTCTTTCCTGTTCCAGTCATTCATTCATTCTGTCTTCTGATACTCTATTCCATTCCCACGCATTGTGGTTGGCATTTGATTGTCTCAAGAGACAGTGGAGTGCAGCACTGGGGGTGAAGTCAAACTGCTGCATTAGCAGCACTGAAGTGACTTCCCCATGGTGCAAGCCTAGGCAGTGTATACGGAGGTCCTGGGCTTCCCAGAAGACAAGATGTCCCTCTTGGCCTTGCTGATGTGGTCCAGAGGAAAGCAGAGCAATATGTTTGGTGCCAGCTTGGCTGCAGGAGTTGCTGGAAAGAGGTGCACAAAGCACCATCCAACTGCTGGATTTACCGTATTTTTCGTCCCATAGGATGCTCCGTCCCATAGGACGCACCTAGTTTTTTGGGGGGGAAATAAAGGGGGGGGAAATTCCCTTTATTTCCCCCCCCCCAAACCCAGGTCGGGGAACAGTGGTATGGCGGTGCTCCGCCTCCCCGCTGTCTCCTGAGCTTGTGGGGCTGGCCGATGTCTGCCCGGTGCGAGGGGCGCTCTGCTTCAGGGCGCCCTGCACGCCGGGCGGCAGGCTGCTATCCGCAGCGTGGGGAGCCCTGCGGGAGGTCCCGCAGGGCTCCATGCTGCGGGTGTCTGCCTGGCGCGAGGGGCGCTCTGCTTCAGGGCAATCCGCGCGCTGGGCGGCAGGCTGCTATCCGCAGCCTAGGGAGCCCTGCGGGAGCCCTGCGCACCAACCCCTCTCGCTCTCCAAGCTTCAGCGAAAGCCTGTATTCGCCCCATAGGACGCACACAGATTTCCCCTTCATTTTTGGAGGGGCGAAAAATACGGTATGTATTTTACTCCTTAGCCTTTTCTAGTTTTTTTGTTTTGTTTTGTTTTGTTTTGCAGTAGTGGGGTGGGGAAGCCATGTGCTTTAAATGTATGGCCTGAATATGACCTTAATGTCAAACTATTCTTCTTAATACTGTAAGTGTAAGAGCACCCTAACATTAGTCTGATTTATTTGACTCCCTATATGAATCACTCCCCATAGAATATCTCAAAGGGATTTCCCTATAGTCATCAGCAATGAAAACAATTAAAAACACTTCCAAACAAAACAAAACCAAAACAAAAAAACCCCTCATATATACCAACAATTCGGTATATGTGCTGCCGAAGTGAGCACATATATACCAACAATTCAAAACAATTCCACGTATTTAATTTTTTTAAGATCCAATAGACTAATAAACCGGGGTAAGGCTTTCCACTTAAAAGGCTTTTTGAAAACAGAGTATCTCCAATAGGTGCTGAAAAGACAAAATAGATAGCACACGCCTGATATGTAACAGGAGGGAGTTCCAAATGGCAGGTGCTGCCACACTAAAAGCCCACTTCTTATATCACATGGGGCTGGCCTCTGGATAGGATGGTATTTGCAGGATGCCCCTTCTTACAGAGTGCAATGATTTGTTAGTTATACAAGCGGCAACTGTTTTAGGCATGTCCAATTGATGTGCGATCACTGACTTGCGGGTGCTTTTGGACCTGGAAGAGGGCGGAATGGGAGCACTTAGGTGCGCTCTGCCAAATCATGCGCCCATCCACCCTGCAAAATGGTCACCACTTGTAATAAGGGGTTAAGACATCTTTTAAAAATTTGTCACATTGTTATTTTTTGAAATGCATGTAATTCAGAGCAAGTACTCCATAACATATCCATAATGATGTGATGGTTCCTTTGTGCCACTTGGGACTAGTTTCATTTCTCTCCATCTTTTCTTTTCCAATTTAAAATTAAGCAAATTTGAAAAATACAAAATAAAAATGAAGTGAAACCGTTCAGCATGATCAGCAACTATTGCATCTGGAGGGGAAAGGGATGCAAGGTGCACCTAGGTATCCTAGCATCTTAATATGTGTGGCTCTTCAAGTGTGACCCTGCGCTGTGTTCATAACTAAGACATGCACTGTTGCACAATTATCATTACTGTTAGGACATCCAGATGGGGCACTTCTGTCTTATTAGATTGTAGTCAATGGCTGTGGTGCTGGTAGTAGTTCCCCTTCCAAAAAGTCAGAGAGGAGTCTTCAAATGAAACTACTTTCATTTTTATGAATCATCCTGGCATTTCTATCATCTGATGAACGCTCCATGGCTTTGGAGGGTAGGGTGAGGTAGATGTTGGAGAGAGAGAAACAGCAGATTTCCACAAGTGAGGAAGCTGTTGACATGAAACTCCACCTCTTTAGACTTATTAAAATGAACTATAGGCAAGCACAGTTTCAAGACCTGAGGAAGCTGATTAAGCAGCTGATTAAGTCAATTAGGCTGCTTGGGGACTCCTCTCTCCTGTAGTATTGTTAGCTAGGAAGCCTAATAGGACAATTAGGATTAATTAAAATCAGCCTGATTGATTAGGACGTGTAAACCAGAGCATCAGGCTCACAAGAGAGGTTATGGGAATATTGAGGTGGCATGCTCTTTCTGGCATCTCAGTATAACCAGTAAAATGCAAGGCTTGGGCCATCATTTAAATGGCCCTTGAATTACCATATCTCATTTCTCCATAGCCAGTTAAATGGCTCCAGCAGTTGTAGGTCCTTCTCAAATTGCATTACTCTATATGTGTTCTTATTTCCGAAACTGATTTTTCCAAAAGAACATTGGGAGAGTGTCTATGTTTGTAAATCAAAACAAGAGTACTGCAATATAAAATTGTTTGTTTGTTTGTTTGTTTAAGAAGATAAAAATATTGTGTATAGGGCAATTGAACTGAAAGATCAATTTCTCAAAATACTCTTTAAACAAATTATTGAAAGAAACCATTGGCTAAACAATGTGCTTCACTTGATAACTATTGCCACTTGAGAAAATGTCTACTCTGGCTAACAATAACAGAATTTTCTGAAGGCTCAGAACTGATGATTGCTGCATTGTCATGTTTCTTCCCCAACTCTGCCCATGTGAAATTACCACCCCAAAATTATGCATGCTCATATTTCTGGAATCATTTGTAGTAGTATCCCAATAAGGGTACTTTGTGAGATAGGCTATGGTCACCCAGTGAACTTCATGCCTGTGTGGCAATTTGAACTCATGTTTCCTAGGTCCTAGTCAAACACCCAGTCAGGTGGGTGGGGTACTATGATGACGACGACTACTACTACTACTAATTCAGACTGCTTTGTTAAACAATCACACAAACAAAATAAAAAGGCCAGCTTTAATTTGTTTTTGTAACCAGCATAGTAAGGAAAGTTTTCCTAAAAGGTGGCATATACATACATCAAATTAATTAATGGTATAGCATTCAGCTTGGTCCTGAGGATCATACTTAAATGAAATGCAAAGGACATTCAATGCTACACACTTTCCAGCTCTTGCCTCCCCAAGTCACATTTTGATCAGGGCTCACTTTTGCAGGATTCCTGTTTTTATCATCATTGCCAATTTATGAGAAGTAAGTTTAAAAAAAACCAAAAAAAAAATACTATGCAGGAAAATCATAAGTACAGATTGGAATGAAATACACAGCGTAACTAGCAATGCCACTGGCTGAAGTAGATGTATTTACAAGGCAAGAAATGACCTGAATAGCTCCCCCAAAGTGACCCCTCCAATTTCAGATGGTTAATTGCCTCCTTTTCCTCACAGCCACTGATCAAAATTTTGCCACTACTGATGCCCACTGTATTTTTTCTCCCAGCAAGCAGTTAACATAAAATTGAACTGACGTTTCTGGTAGTTTGTCCAGTACAGGGGACAATAATTTGCTGACAAGCTCCAGGGTTACCACTGCAGAACAAACTAACACATATGCACAAAGGGATTGTTTTTATATTTCACAGAATGATGTACAGAATATGTATCAGGACATTTATTTATTTATTGCATTGATTTCCAACCTTATTTCTCCATGCAGTATAAGGTGATGTACATGTTCTCCTGCTCCCCATTTAATCCTCACAACAACCCTGTGAAGTAGGTCAGGCTGAAAGGCAGTGCCTGGCCCATTGTCACCCAATGAGCTTGATGGCTGAGTGGGGATTTGAACCCTGGTCTCTCAAGTCCTAGTCTGTCACTTTAAGCAGTATTCACCACATTGGTAATGCCAGAGGAAGCTCTCTCTCTCAGAAAAAAAGTTATGATATGACAGGGGCTAATAAGCTATCACATATCAAGCAACTGTTTCAGATTTAATAAGGCTCCCTTGTCTCAGTAATCTAAGAATCACAAAGCAGTGAGACAATGGATGCTTTCTTGGAAATTATTTTTAGCCAATCATTCAAGTACATTTCCAATTGCAGATGTTGAAAAGCAAGCATTAATCATCTTCTGATTCATCCTCCTTACTTTATGCCCTCTGTTATTTGAAGAATATTGTGTATATTGTCACAAAGCCGCTGAAAAGTCATCCATCTGCCCAGCAATTCAAACAGTAGACTTTTTAAAAAGCAATCATTTTTAAAAGTTTTTAAAAGATAAAAGCAAACAACAACAAGTAGAGGCTGCTTGTTCCATGACTCACCCATATTACATAGCTTTAGTATTTAGCTTTTTGAACTGAATTATTTGTTATTCCACCCTGCCTCTCTTTTTGCATGATGCAGAATCATAGTATCATAAAATCATAGAACTGTAGAGTTGGGGCAGCGTCCTTGTGGCTTATCTAGTCTAACCCCCTGCGATGCAGGAATCTCAACTGAAGCATCCATGACAGATGGCCATCCAACATCTGCTTATAAACCTCCATGGAAGGGAGTCCACTCTGCTCAATTCACTAGTGCTGCATCACACTGCTACTCATGTTAAGCTTGTGGTCTTCTAAGACCCCTAGATCCTTTTCACTTGTACTACTGGCAAGCCAGATGTCCCCGTTCTTATATTTGTGTGGCTGGTTTTTCCTGACTAAGTGTAGGACCTGCCATTTGTCCCTCTTGAAATTCATTTTGTTACTTTTGGCCAGTGCCTTTTGGGGGGGGGAGAGAGATGCTGGTACTCACCATGAAGTTGTTACAGTAAGGGCTGTTTGTTTAACCCTGTAAGTTCTGATTCTCCTCACAGTTTTGGTGCTGGCCATGGTACCAACCTTCACAGCCGCATTGCATGAGGTTTGACTAGATAACCATTAGGGTACCTTCCAAGTTTGCAATTCCTCAAAGCCTTCCTCCTTCCCATCCTCGTACTACCTGGGGCTCATAGCACTGGCTTTGGTGACTTCTGCTGCTCCTGTGCCTGCCCTGCCACGACCATCACAAGTGCCGTCAGCAAGGCAGCCAGGTTGCACAAAGCCAGATGGTGTCAATAACCCATCACCACAAGTTGAATCAGGGCTCTCACAAATTCAGAGTGCTCTGTCACTCTGTTACCTTGTTGTCTGCAATAATAAAACATTAAAAACCCATAGCTCTTGTTAACGCCACATACACAAAATGTGCACAAATATGTGTGTGTGTAAAATTGCAAACAAAAGGGACACGGGTGGCACTGTGGGTTAAACCTCAGAGCCTAGGACTTGCCGATCAGAAGGTCGGCAACTTGAATCCCCGTGACAGGGTGAGCTCCCATTGCTCGGTCCCTGCTCCTGCCAACATAGCAGTTCGAAAGCGCGTCAAAGTGCAAGTAGATAAATAGGTACCACTCCGGCGGGAAGGTAAACGGCGTTTCTGTGCACTGCTCTGGTTCACCAGAAGCGGCTTAGTCATGCTGGCCACATGACCCGGAAGCTGTACGCCGGCTCCCTCGGCCAATAAAGCGAGATGAGTGCCGCAACCCCAGAGTCAGCCATGACTGGACCTAATGGTCAGGGGTCCCTTTACCTTTAAAATTGCAAACAGGTGCAGAAGTGGGGCAAAGTGAACTTTAGACTGGGAAGATAAGAAAGTGAGAGTAAACAAACCTGATGGATTTGACTACCCATAGTTGTATAGATGGCAGGACTGAAGCCATTTGACGCTTGACTCTTCCATTGAGACACGGCTTGGACTTTTTCAGCTCAGTTTGTTTAGTCACAATTTCCTCTAAGTGAACAATCAGAAGCTGAAAATATTTCAAATGATTCAGTGAGCACATTAAAATATGCCCGCAGGAAGGAGTGCGGTTTTTAATTTGGCTTTCCCACTGTCTCACTGATGTATGCCTGTGGAGATGTGACACAGGAGTTCTGAATGCTGAATAAAGCAGTCAGAGCAGAAGAGCCACTGCAGTCACTCTCTGTGATGTTATCGCTCTACCCCGCTCCCCGCTATCTGAGGCCTCTTTGCTTGCCTGCTCTTCTGTTCTGCTGCTCAGATTGCCAAAAGGAATAAGATAATGCATGACTGGCAGCCAGCAGCTTGGAGTGAGGATTGCCACTTGTCACATTGCAGCTACTGTCTGCCAAGGGAGAGAGTGTGGGGAGGTAATCCACTTTCAGAAAAACTCAAAACCTGTAAAATGGTGCATGTTTCCAAAGTATGCAATTTAGATACTGAAAAAGCAAAGGAAATGATATCACAGCAGCTGCTCCAACTATGGGCTCCTCGAGGCAACTCTGTGTATTGAGAATTGGTCGCAGAAAACTTGCGCAGAGGTTAGATTAGCAAAAGCAGCATTTGTTCTGATTTGTTTACAGGCAGGTTATTTTACAATGGGCGTTCATTCTGAATTCATCCTGTTCCACTTGCAAGATGTTCATGTTTTCCTGTTACCCATTTGTCCATACCACACTTTTCTATGCATTCCCCCAGCACTTTCTCTTCCGTTTTTGAAACAGCAACTGAGTTAATGCATCTTTCTCCCAAGATCCAGTGGCGAAGGAAGGGGGGTGGGCTGCCCCGGGTGCCAGCCTGCGGGGCAGGGGGTGACATCGCCGCAGGCAGGCGCATCCCCCTTGGGACACTCACACATGCGACATGCCACCCCACCCCAGGTGAAGCGCATTCCTCCGCGACTGCCAAGATCCACTACAGTGACTGAGTCCTTTAAAGTGAATTAAAGTGAAGCCACAAACCTAAAGTTCAAGTGTGCACTTGATTTCCTTCCACAAAATTCTTGAAGTCTGGAGGACCCCTGTCCCCTCTAGAGAGCCACTTTTTTTTTGTATTCCTTCTTGGCAAATCTCTGCATTTTATTTCTTTATCTAACTTTAATCCATTCTCTGGATGGGGGAATTAGTCGTGCTAATTACCTTGCAGGCGAAACACATTGATCGTGAAGGAGGTTTTCCCAAGGTGAAGTTCATCCATTGAACTTCGGGTGTGCCGACCCTTGTGATTTTCCCTAATGTGGGAAACTCAACTGCATAATGGTTTTAGGGATGTATTTTCTGCATCAGTGTGGATTTCCATTGTGTGATAAGGTAGAACTTAGACTCCACCAAACAATATGTGAGCCTGTGGTGTCAGATGTAGTGTGCTTAATGGTGCCCAGAGCCAGAAAATACTTAATTCGGAGGAAGTAGATCTTCTCTGTGTATTAAATATGCACCTGCATATTGAGTAAACAACACAATTTCTGCTCCTGTAATAAACTATTATATTCATTTTCAGTTACAAGCAATTACTACAAAAACTACCCTTTTACAGTAAAAATGTTCTGAAAATATTGTAAAAAATGTTTAGAAGAAAACCTATTGCTAGCTTGGTTGGTTTGAATGTGGTGCCACTTGCATATTCCTGCATTGCAGGGGGTTGGACTAGATGATCCTCAGGGTCCCTTCCAACAGTACAATTCTGTGATTCTCTGAGAATTAATGTTTACTGATGTTTATAGTTATGGAGGGTTTTTTCCTAACCTCTTTAAGAAACTTGGAAGAATCTGGTCTTTGAGTAGAGAAATGCCCCCAAACATCATTATTTGGTTTGTGTCAACCAACTCGCACTTCCCTTACCATTTGTCTATGAACAAATGATGGGATGTTTTACTACCCCAATCCACTCATATTGGCTGAGTTAATGCATTTGTGGAATATTCCATGCCACAGATGGTTTTTTGTTTGCTTGTTTCCAGGAGGAAAATGGTAATAATAATAATAATAATAATAATAATAATAATAATAATTTATTTATACCCCACCCATCTGGCTGAGGTTCCCCAGCCACTCTGGGCAGTTCCCAATCAAATGTTAAAAACAGTACAGCATTAAGTGGTAACATGGTAAGTAGTTGCTGGCTCTAATTTGGGGACATTGACAGTTAACAATATTTGACAATGGTCTAAGAGGACTACCAGTCATTCTACTTGTGTGTAAATTGCACAATGAAAAGTGCACTTTGGGGTGAGTGTCTTACACCACAAAATTGGATGAAGGTTAAAAGCATTATTGAACGACTTAATATTTAAAAAATCTTTAAGCAGTGTGCACAATGTACAATATAATAACAATATCCATTTTTAAAAATGACCTAAAACCTATAAAACAATATAAAAGCAATATAAAAGCAAGTAGATCATATATAACAGTCAGAGTCCAATCTTATGAGTCAGG